ATCAATTATATAACACTTAAAAGGCAAATTTTTTCTTGAATTTATTTTTGTATCTGATTGAGTAGAATTCAAATTAATTTATTTTAATTAAATAAAAACTATAATGTTAGCTTATGAAACGATAATAATGCATTGCAGTGTTATAATAAAGCATTATTTTTTTTTATAATACTTTAAAAACTTAATTGAAATATTAATGCTTTGTAACAATTTATTTTTATAACAATATCGTTTTGAAATTTAATTTATAATGTCAGTGATTAATTATTTGATAAAAAAATCAATGTATTGTTTATGCATATGTTTTTAAATTAAAATGTTCTGAAATAGAATATGAATTATAAGAGAAGTTAATGAAAGAATGATTTAAATTTTTACGAAACTGGAATAGAAAAACGAAATTAGATATTTAATGTACGGAGATATTTAGTGGATGATATTTATAAATATTTTGCTTCCAAAAATTATAAATAACTATATGGAGAAAAGTTATTTATTCTATTTTTTAATTAAATATATTAGAATTTTAAAACTAGATCATTTTAAATATTTGATTTAATTTTAATTTTGGAAATACAATTAATATTTTAATTTCATTGAAAGTTATCAAAATATAACATATCATTTTTAAACAAAATAAAACAAACATAAACTTTTTTTTCTTTTTATAACATAAATTTTTAATTTTTAGTCGTTCTATAGTTAATTTTTCTTCTCGTGTTGAGAATCTTTCAATACGAATTAATTACATACGTATTTGATTAAACATTGAATTTTTTTTTGAAAAGACCTATGATTTGAAAAGTTTAACAAAATATTAAAATGTCACGTTCGTTGATGATTGGTAGCTTGATTTATCGGTTGGGTTTTATTTAATACGGAGATTCTTCAGATTTTATGCATTAATTAACTTTTATTTTATTGATTTTTTACTGAAAAAAAAAAAAGACTTTTTTGATACCATCTTATTCATCAATTTTTGGGTTTTTGTTATTTGCAAAAGTGTTCAAATTTATGGGACAATTTTATTTCGAATGATTAAAAAATACTATTAATGGAAAAAATTCCATCAGTTTGCATTCTGTAGATTTTCATCTTTTGCTGACTTATAGAATTTCCTATAGACAATACTTTCGAATACTTTTGATTACTTTTTGATTGATTTTAAAATGACGATTCTTTTTTTGTTAAATGTTAAAGCAGAAAAATCATTGAATTGAATTTTGTTATTCTATGGTGTATATAGCAATTAATAATTCTGAAAAAAAAAACCAGTTTGGTCAAATTTTCATACAAAAATTAATGTATACATCTTTTTAAAAAGATTTCTTTTAAATGTTGCCCATTTATTTGGCAAATTGAGCGATGCATAGATAACATATGTAATTACATACTGTCATAATCACTATCGTTTCTTCTCGTTTCTAAAAGTAATTCTTTTCTTTCGCCACACCTTATTTCCCCCTTACCTAATAGGTGGGCTGAAAAAAAATCGATCGTAGTATTAAAGTATTAAATCCATCATGAGTACGCTACTAGTATTAAATCCATCATGAGTACGCTACTAGTATTAAATCCATATAATTTTTAGTTAGCCCTAACCGTCAAAAGACACGTGTATAAATTTAACAGCTGTTGCACTATTGGTATGTGAGTTATAGCATTTTTAGTGAAGCAACTTTTGTTAGTTTGACAAAATGGATAAAAAGGAATTTCGTGTATTAATAAAGCATTGCTTTTTGGGGCAAAAAAAAAAAAAAATACTATTGAAGCAAAGGCTTGGTTTGATAAACATTATTCGGACTTTGCACTAGGAAAATCAATCGTAGAGAAGGGGTTTGCTAAATTTAAACGAGGCGAAATGAGCACCGAGGACAATGCACGCAGTGGACGCCCCTAAAAGGCTGTTACCGACGAAAACATAAAAAAAGTCCACAAAATAATTTCTGATAACCGTAAAGTGAAGTTGATTGAGATAGCTGAGACCCTAAAGATATCAAAGTAACGTGTTGGACATATCGTGAATGAATATTTGGATATGCGAAAGCTTTGTTCAAAGTGGGTGCCGCGCGAGCTCACAATCGACCCAAAACAACAACGAATTGATGATTCTAAGCAGTGTTTGGAGCTGTTCAATCGTAATAAACCCGAATTTTTGCGTCAATATGTGACAATGGATGAAGCATGGCTCCTTCATTTCACACCGGAGTCCAATCGACAGTCAGCCGAGTGGATTGCACGTGATGAACACTAAAAATGATATAACTTCACTAAAAATGCTATAACTCGCATACTAATAGTGCAACAGCTGTCAAATTTATACACGTGCCTTTTGAAGGTTAGGGCTAACTAAAAATCCTATGTATTTAATACTAGTAGCGCCATCTATGTGTCAGCCTGGGAACCTTTCAGCCGACATGTTAGGCTGTGTAACGCGCCCCTATCAGTTTGGAAACATCGGTAGGCCTCATGTATACTTTTTTACTCTTGTATAGCCTCTAGGCAGCCTGACTATCGATGTGAGAGACTTTATACACCACAGTCATCATCGAGTCTAATCGTTTCTGAAGGCAGTGACTACAGCAATGCCACCAGCGGATTCGAACCTCGAACCTTTTGTTTGCTAGCTGCACTCCCTATCACTAACACTGTATTAAAGGGTGTTGAGAGGAGGACAGTGCCTATCGGAAAGGCTTATAGGAGTAATTGCCCCGAATTTACATACCGCATATGAGAAAACTCGGAAATCTTCCACCAGACAACCTGGCTGTCAATGTGGGAGGCTTTATACACCACAGTCTAATCGTTTCTGAAAGCAGTGGATACAACAATGCCGCCAGTGGATTCGAACTTCGAACCTTCTGCCTACTAGCTGCGCTCACTGCGCTGCTGTTGTCAGATATAACGAAAGGGGTGGTTATATAACATTTAAAAGACAAAAATTGAATTTATTTTGGTTATTATTTTGGTAGAGTAGTCAGAAATTACGAAAAAATTCAAATTAGTTTATTTTAATTAAATAAAAATTATAATGTTATTATATAAAACTGTAATAGGCATTACATAGTTATAACAAATCATTATATTTTTATAATATTTTAAAAAAGGAATTCAAATATCAACGTTTTGTAACAACTTATTTTTATCACAATATCGTTTTGAAATTTATTTTATAATTAATTAATTTTGTCAGTGATTAAGTATTTGTTAAAAATCAATGTACCTTTTTTTATGCGTATGTTTTCAATTAAAATATATTGAAATAGAATATGAATTATAAAAGAAGTTAATGAAAAAATGATTTAAATTTTACAAAATTGGAATAGGAAAACGAAATGAAATATTTAATGGATGATATTTATAAATATTTTGCTTCCAAAAATGACAAGCAACATTTAAATAAATATGCAGAGGAAAGCTTTTTATTCTATTTTTTTAATTAGACGGCCACTGGCCCATTTCGGGCAAAAGTTGTGGCTTCAACACACGTCTTTAACGGTTCCCATCACTGCTCTTGAACATTAGATGCAGGAATTACAACTGCATCCTGTTCCTGATATTCAGGTCAAAAAATGTTCACCTTTGAATGTGGATATTAGATACAGAATTCCATGTACAAACTTGGAGAGGAATCAGAATCACACATTACAACATTAGAAGTAGATAGGTAACATTATATCCGAGGTCTTAGATCATCACATGTTAATTCCTTATTAAAAACGTCGACTGTGCGCGGTCAACAATATTTTCCCCAATGTGGAGTTGCATGATATTCATTTCGTGTATGACCTATCTAACGGCAATGGATTCTCTGCTTTATCGCTGTATCGGGAAACATACTTCGTCGATTATGATTTCAACATTCTGGGGTACTGAATCCCTACTCAATGTGTACATTATTCGTTCATCGATTGTGTGGAAAATTGGTAAGCTGCCAAATCGAATGGGTTCCCTCACAGAAGCGTAGTAGGGAAAAAAACGTATTTCAAGAGGGGTTTTAATGACAATGCAAATAATTTAAATTTTTAATAATTTGAATTTTAATTACATAATATCAGCAGAAATATTAGATAACAAAAATTTCCCCAATAAATAACATGAATCCCTACTCAATGTGCACATAATTCGTTCATCGATTGTGTGGAAAATTGGCAAGCAGCCAAATCGGATGGATTCTCTCACAGAGGCGCAATAGGGATGAAAGGTATTTCAAGAGGGGTTTTTATGATAATACAAATAATTTTATGTTTTAATAATTAAAAGTTTAAATTACATAATATAAAAAAAAAAAAAAATATTACATGAAAAAATTTTCCCCAATAAATAATAAATATTTTTCTTTTTAAAACTGCTTCGCGCCGCTTATTGTCCGATACCACTTACTTTGAACTCCTAACAAGAAAGTGATTGGTATGTTTCCAATTTTGAAACGAATGTTTACCTCCTCTTATAATCTATTCTCGAACTGTAGTTAACTTTTTGGGAGAACATATATTAATCGATGGACTGGGCTGTGGTAGCCCTGTTGTATACCCACCTCAGTCGCCTGATTTATCTCCCATGTATTCTTTTTATGGTGCGCATTTAATAATATTGGTTGCGAAACGCCCAAAAATGTATTTTCGAGAATCACTATGATCCAAAGTATTTTTGGCATTTTATAACACTTAGACGTAACTTTAATACATGATGTATTTGAATTCTCTTATGTTGTTGTTGTTTCTTATCCCACTTGGCTGGCCAAGCCCACGAGCCCATACGTACTCACGATTGAAGGGGAAGGAAGCAGCTTCTGTTGTGATGGAGCACCCGTAGGCAGAAGTCTGACTTTGGCTCCGTGACGCTCTGACAGTCATAAGAGACCGGGACCTACGGCTTAAAGTGGATTCCGAACCACTACAAACATCCATGGCACCGCCGGGATTCGAACTCGAAACCTGTGGCACCGAGCGCCAGAGCGCTAGACACTCGGCCATTCAGGTCCCAAATTTGTGAATGCCAACGGCACGCGATATTCCCAGGTGATCACCCACCCAAGTACTGACCCCGCCCAATGATGCTTGACTTCGGTGATCTAACGAGAGCCGTATTCTCTTATATAACAAGTAACATGAAAAAAATTTGAAGTCAATTCTTACTTTTTAAGTTGAAATTTTCCTCTTACATCTGGCGCCATCTATTGGTAAATACATGCCGATAGTCGATATGGCGTAGATATCAGGCGAGTGAATCAATGCCAAATAGATGAAAATTTGAACATTTCCCGTCAGAATGTTTATGTTTGTACCTATTATTGCACTGTTTGTATGTGTGCATGTAATAAAGTGCTCTTTGCGGACGGTATTTCTAACCATCTTGATTCCTTTTTTAATTCCTACTATTAGTTCACACTCTCCCTATATATATCTTGTACAAATTTTCAATCGTTAATAAAATACTTTTTATTCATCCAATCAAGTTCAAATACATTTTTTTTAATTTGTCGTGGATGACACTTGACGTTAGTACAGTTTTTTCAAATATTAATTAATTCAGTAATTAAATTTCATTAATTAATTTTAGTTTTTTTAGATTTAAGTTGCATGTATTTACCAATAGAGGGCACCAGATGTAAGAGAAAAATTTCAACTTGAAAAGTAGGAATTGATTTAAAATTTTTTTTTATATTACTTGTTATATAAGAGAATTCAAATACATCATGTATTAAAGTTACTTCTAAGTGTCTAAATTAAGCCGTATCGATTTTTGTGTTTTAAAATAGAATAAATGTTGTCTCTAGATCTCAAGTAACTAACTTGTAGTTTAATTAGGCAACAAAAAATAAAATAAAGATAGAGTAACTGGAACTTTGAACTTTAAAACACTGAATTATTTCTGAAAGAAATATTTTAAATAAAATTGAATTGTTTTTAAAGGCGACATTATCAGATATTGTAATGCACTTCTTAATGCAATTTACGTAGGATTGCCTTTCCAGCTATAAAAGAAAATTACTATTTAATTAAATCTTTTCGTTAAATATCAGTCACGCCAAATTACTGAAAGCAGATTAAAATTTTAAAATTAATGTACTTGAAATGAAGTTTGTGAAGTAATCCTGATTAAATGTGACATTTCAAAATAAGAATGTTATCACCTAGGATGCTAAAATTAAATGTTTTATTATTAATATAATTTTGAATTTTACATAAGCCTATTTTCCTTGGAAATTTTATCTGAATTCCAATCTTATTTCGTCGAAACAAAACTACAGCAATAAGCTACTACATTATTAAGTTAAGCACATCAGGTTCATCCATCGCTCTTGAATAAATAATCTGTCTAGCCAAAATAAAAACTACTGTATCGCAGATTTCATAGATTAAATAAAAAACAAAACAAAAACAACTGATGTTTCTGTCCAACAGATAGAACAAAACAAAAAGTTTAACTTTTAAGTTTAAAGTTGCCACTCGTAAAAGAAATGAAGTAATAATGGCAGAAAAACGTGGAGTTAGAAATTCGCGTGACTTTATGTTGCATGCTTCAGAAATATATTAAACATTTCAATGAAATCTATTATAAGGTTTACTAAAACCGGTTCACTTTTGGCTGTACTTTCTAGTTTACGTTAATCTACTTTTGATACAATTTGTTTTTGATAAATTCAAATAAGCTATATTTCAACGTTGCGTTTTTATGCAATATTCATATTTATCTATGGCATTTGACAGATTTTTTTCTAACGTTTTGTTATATGAATACGAATGCAATTTTATATTTATGAATGTATTAGTGTTAAACGGGCCTGAGGGCCGAGTAATTAGTGCTCGGTACCGTAGATTTCGAGCTCGAGTCCCGGTGGGGCTATGGATGTTTGTAGTTGCTAGAAATCCACTTTAAGCTATAGTCCCCTGTCTAATATGACTGTTTGGTGTAGTGCTGGCAATCCTACTCCGTAAAAGAAAACATCTTCTATCACGTCATCTTCTATCAACATCTACCAGTAGGCAGATGACCTTGATCCATAATAAGGCTGTTGCGCCAGTAAAGCAGAGGATAAATATTAAAAACAAGTAATATAAAAAAAAAAATTTCAAGTCGATTCCTACTTTTTGTTCACTCTATTGCAGAAAGTCCTTCATAAATAATTTTCATTCATTTTTTAAAGTTTATCTGGCGCCCTCTATTGGTAGATACATGCAACTTAAATCTAAAAAAAACTAAAATTAGTTAATTAAATTTAATTACTGAATGAATATTTGAAAAAACTGTATTAACATCCAGTGTCATCCACTACAAGTTCAAAAAAATGTATTTGAACTCGAGTGGATGAATAAAAAGTATTTTATGAACGATTGAAAATTTGAGCAAGATATATATAGGGAAAGTGTGAGCTAATAGAAGGAATTGAGAAACGAAGAAATAAGCAAATATGTGTTGTGTACTCTTTTATCGCGTCTAATTGTTTGCTGAACCTTTATGAACTGTATTAATTCATCCTACTAGTTCCAATATATTGTGTTAAGTTAAAACAAAATTCTGTTTATTTTTTCGATTGAAATAAAATTGGAAAATTTAGCCAAAAATATGCTTATTTAATCAGTACATATTTTTCCTTAACATTTTATTATCTTAATATCAGTTTTCCAATGCCTTTTTTTGTAAAATTAAAAAAAAAGAATTTAGCTTCATTTCAACATCTTTTCATTCAGTGCAGCAAAGAGCTTCTAAAAAACGATAATCTGTTGGAGAAATATCGACAGAATAGTATGGGTGAAGTAAGATTTTCCCATCAAATTCTTCCAGGAGTCTCTTAGCTGCTCTTGAAGTGGGTGTTCGGACATTGACATGATGCAAGATTGCATTTTTTTTCTATTTATCAGCGAAGGTAATTTTTCCAGCAAAAATGCTTGTAAGTACCTTAGATGTTGACAGTGAAAACGGTTATTGTTAAATTTTCACCCAATGGCTTCTAATGAACAATTCCTTTCCTACCCCACCCTGCATCCAAAAGAATCTTCTTCGGATGCAAACTCCTTGGAGATGACGAGATAGGCCTTAAAGGATGGGCAAGACACTGTTTTTTTTTTTTTTTTTTGAGCTTGAAACCATTATAAAGGATGCGCTGATGTGTCACAAATAGTTAGAAGATGAATCAGTGTTAACAAGTCTAATAATTATCCTCCCCAAAAGGACAGGACTTTTATTACAACATGAGATTTTCTATGGTAAAATCAGCTCTAACTAATTGTGAAGTTGTCAACATTTAGAAAAGTTTAATTGACATTCATAACTGATAGACAATGCTTAGTAATTAGAATGAAATGAAGTCTGCTTTTACAAGTTTCACTTGGTCTCTTAACATTCACGGATATGAACGAATCTCTTTAGTGATTATTTTATGAATCTTTCTGTTAGTCCCTTTCAGAAAAGATGCTCTATAATTATGTGACATTTTAACAAGTGATTTACTATTGTATTAGTGATGAAGAGGTAGTGTGTACAATTTACGCCAAACCCTTATTGAGTGCCAAATTCCTTTTACTTGACAAGAAATAGTTACAGCCTAATGCTCTTTCAAAAAGCGTTAACTATTTCTGAAAGAGTATATCATAAAATTGTTTGAGACTTTCATTGTAGAATTACAACTATAATATAATAAAAAAATTTCCAAATGCGGGATGCAAATATGATTGTGAATTTAACCCAAAACATGTGAGATCTGTATGCATGTGTTGCTATAACTTTTCTCAAATATATTATATTATTATTTTTTTTCTTCTAATGCAGCTGGCAAACACTTAGATAGCTTGGTCTTGGAGGCCTTAAGGCCAGCGCTACACAGGCGTTACTCACTTTGCATTACCCAGAGGGCGCGTGTAACTTGATGATATGCCACGGACGCGGAGTAACAATGCCCCCGCCACGCTCTACGATCCTATTAGGACCGGGACCTAAGGTTTAAAGTGGATTCCGAACCACTCCAAACATCCATGGCACCACCGGGATTCGAACCCGAAACCTGTGGTACTGAGCGCTAGCCACCCGAGCGCTAGTACCAGAGCTCTGGCCACTCAGCCATTCAGACCTCAAATATATAGAATTTAAAAATATTTGTTTTATGAATGCCGGTGTTTCGATATGAGGTATTCAATACTACTAGAAGATAGATACGCAGCAATTTCAACATTACCCTGGCTATATATTGCATTAGCATTTTGCCATTGCAATTTTGGACGAACATCTTCCGGCATTTACACGTTCCTCATAGAGCCTATTGTGGATAATACCAGCTTGCAGTTTTATCGCGTTCATTTCCCGTATAGATGGAGAAGCTTTTGATTCAGCTCAGGTTCAGGTCAGGTTTTGAACTCCGCCTCACTAGTCTTGAAACTTGAAACATTTTCAAAAATTTTCTGTTTTCTTAGCAGTGTTATTAATTAACTTTCTTATTGTATTTCAAAATTTTTGAGAAAGCAAATAAAAAAATGTTAAATTATTAATAAATCAGTATAGAAGGAATTTGCACAATAAATTAATAAAAGGGCTATTTTAAAAATGATTTAGAAATATGTGTACATTAATATTTATTTAATTGGAATAATAAATATCTATAGACATGCAAATAAAACTTTTGCTTTATATGCAGAGGAGAGTTTTTGCATACCGTATTTTGGACGTCCGTTAGCTTTTTCTCCCTAGCGCGCATGCTCATAGGAAATTGTGCATGCGTATCTGTAATAATGTTTCGCATGAGCATGCGCGCCAGGAAGAAAAAGCTAACGGACGTCCAAAATACGGTATGCAGGAAAAAAAAAAAAAAAAAAAAAAAAAAAAAACTCTCTAATGTATATAAAGACAGTAATTTTTTTAAAGGAAAACCAAGCGTTTAATTTATCTTCTATATAGCAATAATTTAAATTGAATTTCACCTTCAACAAATAAATTTAGCTAAAAAAACTGATTCTTAATAAGTTTCTGCACTCCTGAGTCTGAGTTGTTCTTTTACAAGAAAATATAATAGCTAATTTCTTGCATTCATTATTCCTTAATTCTCTTTTTCTTATCTGAATAACTGCAGAAATGTTATTTTCAAGGAAGCAAT